TTACCTGGACCTGAGCAAGGCCTTTGACATGGTCCCCCACCACATCCTCATCTCCAAATTGGAGGGAAGTGGATTTGATGGGTGGACGACCCGATGGATAAGCAATTGGTTGAAAGGCCGCAGACAGAGGGTGGTGGTCAATGGCTCTATGTCCAGGTGGAGGCCGGTAACAAGTGGTGTCCCCCAAGGGTCTGTCTTGGGACCGGTGCTCTTTAACATCTTTATTAATGACATCGATGAGGAAATTGAGTGCACCCTCAGCAAGTTTGCTGACGACACCAAGCTGAGTGGTGCGGTTGATACGGTGGAAGGAAGGGATGCCATTCAGAGGGACCTCGAGAGGCTGGAGGGCTGGGCTCGGGTGAACCTAATGAGGTTCAACACGGCAAAGTGCAAGGTTTTGCATTTGGGCCGGAAGAACCCCAGGCACCCGTACAGGCTGGGAGGAGTGGTCCTTGAGAGCAGCTCGGCAGAGAAGGACCTGGGGGTCCTGATGGACGAGAGACTGAACATGAGCCAGCAGTGCGCTCTGGCAGCTCGAAAGGCAAATGGGATCCTGGGCTCCACCAGGAGAGGGGTGGTCAGCAGGGACAGGGAGGTGATTGTCCCTCTCTACTCGGCTCTTGTGAGGCCCCATCTGGAGTACTGTGTCCAGGTGTGGAGCCCTCAGTACAAGAAAGACATTGAGATTTTGGAAAGGGTCCAGAGGAGGGCGACTAAGATGATCAGGGGGCTGGAGCACCTCCCCTATGAGGACAGGCTGAGGGAGTTGGGCTTGTTCAGCCTGGAGAAGAGAAGGCTGCAGGGTGACCTCATTGCAGCCTATCAATACCTGAAGGGAACCTACACCCACGAGGGGAGTAAACTCTTCAAAAGGGCTGACAACAGCAGGACTAGGGGAAATGGATCCAAGTTGAAGGAGGGAAGATTTAGGTTGGATGTTAGGGGGAAGTTCTATACAAGGAGAGTGGTTAGGCCCTGGAACGGGCTGCCCAGGGAGGTTGTGGATGCCCCGTCCTTGGATGTGTTTAAGGCCAGGTTGGACAGGGTCCTGGGCAACCTGATCTGAATGTGTGTGTTTGGTGGCCCTGCTAGGCAGGGGGGTTGGAACTACATGATCCTTGAGGTCCCTTCCAACCCGGGTGATTCTGTGTGATTCTGTGTGATTCTGTGGGAGTTTCACCATCACCTGCATGTTTGCATTAATAATGAATGTAACGTCACGAGGGTCCTTTGTTTCAGAATCAGTGATGAAGAGAAGGAGGGAAAGTCAAATTTACTTCTTTGTATAAGTAAATAAATAAATAACCCTTATCTACTAAAAACTGTGATGGTGTAACGATATGTAAACTTTCTCTAAATATGTACACTTCACAGGGGGCTTACTCTTATAACCACATCTATACTCCTACTGACGTCCGTCTGGTGATTGAGTATGCCCGATTAAGAGGCATTAGAGTTATCCCAGAGTTTGATACCCCAGGACACACACAGTCCTGGGGAAAAGGTATGTCAGAGAAAGTATTAATGCTTAAAACATTGTGATGAGTGAAGTGCAGCATAGTATTCCTATTATATATGTTTATATTATATATATTATATATTAATATAATATGAAAGTGAGTGGGCTTGTTAAAAGCAGCTTTTGAAGTACTTTGAAAGGCATTTGGAAAGAGGTAAGCGAGGGGAGGAATCGGCAGTGGTCAAGACCTTAGATGTGAGAGAAGCGAAAGTGAATGGAGGAAGCTGAAACTGAGCAGTCATTTCCTATGCTGGATTTGTATGCAAAGGCTAAGTATATACTATCTGCTTTGGTTTCATATTGATGTTTTCACCCCATACAGTCATCTTGAGTTTAGAGTAATAAGGCAGAGGCTAGCAACAGTGAGCTGCAGTCCCTGGAGATATTTTTTCTTTCAAAGTAGTTGATACTTCTGTTTACTAGTAAAGACACGATCTGCTGGTGTACAAATGGTAGCAAAGCTTTATTCTGTTTTCTGGGTTTCAAAGTAGTAGTATTTTTCTTGATAGAGTCCAGAGTTATGGTGATTACATGTACTCAGAGACCAGGAAACCTTGTGCCTTGATTCAAGATGTATGGACTGCTGTTAAGCTGCAGAGTTTTCGGCTAAACAGAGAATAGTGTACATTTTCTAGTCCCTTTAGCTACAGGATGAGTCTTGTGCTCATCCTGTGGGAAACGTGTCCAGAACATTGGAAGATGCCCCAGGCTCTTTCTCACTTACGTTACATGAGAAGGAAATGAGCAACATAGAAGTTGAACCGGTAAACAATTTTTCTGAATCTTTCATCTTATGTAGTCTTGGTTGTTATGAAGCATTAGGGGATGCCATCCAGAGGGACCTGGACAGGCTTGACAGGTGGGCCCACGTCAACCTCATGAAGTTCAGCAAGGCCAAGTGCAAGGTCCTGCATCTGGATTGGGGCAATCTCAAACACAGATACAGGTTGGGTGCAGAATGGCTTGAGAGCAGCCCTGAAAAGAAGGATTTGGGGATGTTGATTGATGAAAGATTCAACATGAGCCAGCAATGTGTGCTTGCAGCCCAGAAGGCCAACCATATCCTGGCTTACATCAAGAGAAGCGTGCCAGCAGGTCGAAGGAGGTGATTCTGACCTTCTACTCTGTTTTGTGAGACCCCACCTGGAGCACTGCGTCCAGTTCTGGTGCCACCAACACAAGAAGGATATGGAACTGTTGGAGCATGTCTAGAGGGCCACAAAGATGATCGGAGGGCTGGAGCACCTCTATAAGGACAGACTGAGAGAGCTGGGGCTCTTCAGCCTGGAGAAGACTATGAGGTCTCAGAGGAGACGTTGTAGTTGCCTTCCAGTACCTGAAGGGGGCCTACAGGAAAGCTGGGGAGGGACTTTTTATAAGGGCATGTGGTGACAGGATGAGGGGAAATAGCTTTAAACTGGTAGAGAGTAGATGTAGGTTAGATATCAGTAGGAAATTCCTTACTGTGGGGGTGGTGAGACACTGGAACAGGTTGCCCAGTGAGGCTGTGGATGCCGCCTCCCTGGAAGCGTTCAAGGCCAGGCTGGATGGGGCTTTGAGCAACCTGGTCTAGAGGGAGGTGTCCCTGCCCTCCCTGCAGGGGGTTGAAACTTTCTGTGATTGACAAAATCCAGATGCTTGCCAGTGGCTTGCCTACAAGTAGCTGAGCTGACCTGTAGTCACATGAAGAGCAGGATTCGGCTCACTTGTCTTTAATGAGCTGGTCCTGATAGTTTCTTGTATGATAGCTTTTTAATATAACTGAAGCTGGATTTGCTCATGAACCTGAGAACTACAGCTGTGCTTTCCCTACATCTAAATTCAAAGTATTGGAAGGAGACCTAGAGTCATGCAAGAGGAGCAGGTGAAGCAGTGTATTACTAGCACTCTGCTTGGGTGAATGTGCTTGGAGTAGAAAACATGCAGCTAGGAAGGTGCTGCTGCAATTATGTAAACTGAATATAGGGATCATAGAATCCTTAGAGTTGGAAGGGGCATTTAAAGGTCATCTAGTCCAACTCCCCTGCAGTGAACAAGGACATGTGCAACTGGATCAGGTTGTGCAGGGCCAACTGATCCAGTCTGGCCTTGAAAGCCTCCGGGGATGGGGCATCAACCACATCTCTGGGCAACATATTCCAGTGCCTCACCAACACCGTGAAAGACTTTTTCTTGTATTCAGCCTAAATCTATCCTTTTTAAGCTTGAAGCCATTTCCTCTTGTTCTTTCACCACAGACCCTGATTCCTTCTAATTGGCATATTTCCTAAATCTATTAAAGCTTTGTTATTCAAGTAGTCATCCAGGAATTGCTTTCTAGGTGGTGGAGTATGTTCTATAAATTTGTGTTTTAAATCAGAAGTTTAAAAGCTGGAGTCTTCATTTTCAGTTAGAGGGTTCTTCAGCTTTGGGCAAAACTGCTTCAGCTTGTCTCTATTCAATTTTGTATGGAATAGATGAGCACTTTAGTAATGAATATTAACCTCTGTAATATGAGTGAACTACTTCCTGTTAGCAGAGATAGCAAGCCCGTATGGAACTAAATATCCTCCATTAATTGTTTCTATTAGGTCAAAAAGATCTTCTCACCCCTTGTTACAGTGGAGAACAACCAAGTGGATCCTTTGGACCTGTAAATCCCATTTTGAATTCAACTTATGACTTCATGGCTACATTATTCAGAGAAATCAGTGGTGTATTTCCTGACGCCTACATCCATCTGGGAGGAGATGAAGTGAGCTTCGATTGTTGGTATGGTCACAGTTCAAAAAATAAATAGCCAGTGCCTCTTAAACTTGCCTAAATCCATCAGCTGTGAGATGGCTTTCTCTGCTTATCCCAAAGATACTCTGTGCTCCTGCTTCTGTAAGAATTTATAGGCAGAGCATTTTCAATAAGCAAGTTACAGTTGTACAGAATTTTGCTCTGACCATTTGTTTTTCATGCATGTTGGGATACTCTAAAGGATTTCTTTATGAAAACTAACCATTCAGAAGGGAGAAAAATTTGGGGAGTTAAGCACTATAGAAGATTATTAATGCTGAAGTGCTTTGTGTTAAAGGAAAACCAGTCCTTTTCATTGAGACCTGCCTTATAGAAAATCTGTTAATGCTAAGAATTGCAGTACTACCTTCTTGGGTGCTTACATTACAAATACTGCATACATTAGTACAGTTCTTCAAGTTGTGGATTTGGGCTATTTTTAAATCTTTCTGGTGGAGTAACTAATAATAATACAGAATTGAGAGCTGATGTAATAGGATTAGCATTCAAATTGATCCTTGTTAGTATTTGTGGATTCTCTTGAAGAAACAAATCTGAACACTCAGAACTTGCTTTAATTTTTGAAGTAGAGATAAGTTCTGTCAAATGTTTCAGTACAAAGTGTTGGTTTGCTTTAAGGGAGTTCTTTTCAAGTTTGATTCTTAATGTAACTCCTGCAGATACCCTGGTGCTCTTTGGTTGCTTAGTTTCCGGACCTGCTGGCAGTTTTCCCACAACATGATAGAGGCAGCAGGAACCCTAGGGCTCTTAGGAGCTTGAGGAACCCTGCCAGAAGCTGCTTGAGGGCAGCTACTCCAGTAGCTTTCCCAGAGAATTAGGGCTATTGGCTTTGTTTCAAATCATGATTAAATTTGATTTCAAAATACCTAAATCGTATTATTCTGCTACTTCTGCTCTGTTGTGCATTTGAGGCTGTGACATGTCTAAGGCATCTGTTAATATACTGTGTGTGGATAAATCTAATTAGGAAATCAGGCTTAAAACAAACAAAAAATAATTCTTCTGATTTATTTTTTTTCTGTTTAAGGAGATCTAACCCTGAAGTGAAAGATTTCATGAAGAAGCAAGGATTTGGCATTGACTATGCTAAACTGGAATCATACTATGTTCAGAAGTATGTGCTTAATTTTTAATTTCTCCCCAGCTTTTCACACCTGCTGTCTGAGGGGGATGTCAGGGTGCAGATATGTAATATTTTAGACTGTATTGTATTGCATATATAATAATATTTTAAAAATTTCAATAACTTCAATGCATGAGGGCACATCCCAGTTTCTTTTCTGTTTATACAAAGAATATAGAGTTTACGTCTTTAAAATGTGGGACACAACAAGGATACGTAGGCTCGTTCTAAACACACTCTGAATGTATTGGGTATCTTTAAACTGGGTGTACTGAAATGTCAGTAAACAAGGTGGGGAGAGAAAATCTAAAGGTTTTTGCCGATGTTCATTGATTTTTCTTAAGTGGCATACATTTCAACATCTTTCTGAGTTACTGGCAGTTCTGTACTGAAGTCTATGTTAATGTAATTTCTTATTTCCTTATAAGTATGTTCTTGAAGGCCAAAGTGAGAGAAGTCTGGCTTCTTTTGGTCCCGTAGGAATGAAAAGGCACAGTATGCATTAGAGTAGGAAATACTGCTGCATTGGGTGTCTGCATTTGAGCTGCTTGAAGTTCACAGGCATGATCTTATTTCTAAATCCTAGGATTTTGGATATTGTTTCCTCCTATAACAAAGGATACATGGTCTGGCAGGAAGTGTTTGATAACAATGCAGAGGTAAGATGGAAAAGTAAATAGGATACTCTCATAAAACAACACAATATCATGGGTGGCTTCCAGAATAGACAATTAAGTAGTTTTGGTTGTGTCCTTTAAGTGTTTAAAGGAAATCTGTGGACAATACCAGTAAGTCCACACAGGTGTAGAGCCTAACCTGTTATTACCATTTATCTAGTAGATAAAATAGGTGAAACAAGAACAGCAGCATTGCTGCACTTTCTTCAAGGTAAGAGTAGATAATATCACTTAATGTAGAGCAATATTTACTTAATGAGTAAAGAATAGAAAAGTTTCTCTGCCTTCTTATATACTTCAAGTTTTCCCAGGTAACAGCACACCTAGACTAGTAACACCAGGTGCTCAGCTTTTTGAAGTTATCAGTTAACTGGTATGATGGCATGTAGGAGCCATCTCAGGGAACAGACTGTCTACAATCTGTACTTCTCTCTAGTGTGAACTGTGTTTAAAACTAACAGATTATTAGTTTAGACTGTCTAGGAAAGAAAACAGTGCCAAAAGTTAGTTTCCAGTGCTCTCCTTTTTGAAGCAAAATGCCCCCCTCCAAGTTTTGAAATCTGTTACTGGCTTTTTTTCCTGTCAACAGTAATTAGGATTATCTTTCATGTTGATTTTTTTTGAAATTATTTTTATTTTTCCCTTCTAGCTGAAACCAGACACTGTAGTTGAAGTGTGGATGGCAAATAACTATGCACACGAACTGAGCCGTGTCACTAGAGCAGGGTTTACTGCTATCCTGGCAGCTCCCTGGTATTTGGACTACATTAGCTATGGACAAGACTGGACAAAATACTACCGTGTTGAACCACTGAACTTCCCTGGTTTGTTACTTTTTTTATGTATGATGTGCGTGAATGTATTTGGTTCATAATAAGGCATAAATTGAATAGATAAGGCTATTTAGAGATGCATGCAGTTGGTATGATCAAATACTCTATAGTCAAAGGTCTTGAGCATTTTCCAGAGTTGTGGCTGACAAACAAGTGAAAAAAACAATTACAACTTCCCATTTCTCAAATGGAAAAGCATTAGTTCCTCCAACATGTGGCACTGGTGCATGTGTGAGACAGGAAGCTGGACGGCATGAACAGATGTGTCATGCTTTAGGAACAACACAAAACAGCTGATGGTGGACAAGGAACTTGTATTTTGAAGCAACTTCATAGAAAGTTAGACTGTTAAAGAAAAAGGTATATTCTCTCCCTCTGGCTGAAGCTGATAATCAGAACTTTTGCCATTTCCTATGCAAAGTGTTAGGGAGAACTTCAGAGGTCCATAGCTTCTTCAAGAAACGTTCTGTGTGTAGTAGAGGGAGAGCAGTTTGAAAACTTGAATCCCTGAAGAGTGTCTAAACAACGGAAAATAAAAGTTATAATCTTTTCTGCCGCAGAAAGGAGGTGTGTTCTCCAGGAAAATGGGCTAGTCATTCTTACATTCTACTACTAAAATACTGTTTGTGCTCAGGACAGATATGTTATTTGATAAAAAGTAAGTAACAGCTGAACAGCAGTCCTGAGTATTGAAGAAAAAAATAATTGTGATACATGTCCGTGTCCTGGACAAATAGAAATTCTTACTTTCTGCTTTGAATACAGGATCTGAAAAACAGAAAAGGCTCTTAATAGGTGGAGAAGCTTGCCTGTGGGGAGAATATGTGGATGCCACAAACCTCACACCAAGATTATGGTATGAACTTCTTTATATTTTAGAAAGCTACAAGGAGAATGAATTAATCAAACAGTATTGTATGTTTGTGGTAACAGTGCTAGAGTTCTGTAGTGATCCTAAGCAGCTTTACAAATTGATGCTCCTGGTAAAAGACCTGGTGTTTAAAACTTTTATCCATTCTTGGTTGTAGCCTGTATCTCCTCTAAAACTTAGTTTATCTTCGCAGGCCTCGGGCAAGTGCTGTAGGGGAAAGACTCTGGAGCAGCAAAAATGTGACCAACTTGCAGGATGCCTATAGAAGACTGTCCAACCATCGATGCCGCATGCTCAGGTAAGATCAGTGGTTCCAGTAAGCCTGTGGCTCTCATGCCGTAGAGCCAGTGGAGTTAAAGTACAGGCTTAATTTGCTGGCTCCAAAATGAATGAAAGCTAGCAGACTCATCTGATCACATAAATATCATCCCAAGTGTTCCCTCAGAACGGAAAAAACAGTTACATTAAGACAGGAGTTCAAAAGATTCTTGCAGATAACATTCTCAAAATCATGACCCCTCTTTACTGAAATGCTAGAACTTATCTCTGTTCTGCTTTCTTCTGAAGAAAAAGCATACTCCATGACTGACTTATTTCAGACTATGAAGGATATTGAAGGGCACATGGGAGGAGTACACAGACAGGAGTAAAAATAGGCTGATTTTTTTAGTTATTGGAAAGAATTGTTACCAGAGATAATCAAATGGAGCTTCTTGCATGAGAGGTGGGCTTGAATGACCTGTTCTTTCAAGTATTGCCTTAATGTAGAAAGTGAAGGGGTGGATCTGGTCTTAAGTTTCAGTGCGACTCACTTCTAAAAGTACGCAGCCAGAAAGCAGTTTGATTGCTCAAATGTTGCTGCAACTGATCTACAGCAAGAATGAGCATGCCAGCTAGTTTTATAGTAGTCTATGACAAACCAAAGAAAATTCCACCCATGAGAGAAAGGATTTTGAGGTATTTACAGATATAGGTTTTTAAAGGACAGGATACATGGCAATTACAGTCAGCACCCAAAATTCAAGCACTCTCTTCAGATTTCTGTGGGTACCTCAGCATGTGCTTTGTTGGCACATAAGCTCATGGTGAATAAAAAAAAAACAACAACTTTGCATTAAGGACATGTCCTCCTTAAAAGTACTGCTTTTATGTAGGCTTTAAGCTAGAAGGACAGTAGAGTAACCATCCCATTTCCATTGGTTAAATGATCATTCCTTCTGTCTGCAGTTACACTGCCTTTCGTTGGACCTTCCATGAGTTTTTTTGAGTTCTGTTTGAACCCCAAAGCACTGATTTTATTAATTGAACTGTTATGAAAATTTAGGAAGTGTGCAAATATGTCCCTGATACTGTTCTTGTGCGTGGAATATGTATATGCAGACGGGTGGTTTCAGCAGGCTGAGAAGCCTTTCCAAATAAAACAGCTCTGGCTGGATGTATGTATCAGATTACCAGGCAGAGAGGGAAGGGGCAGGGAGAAACTTTCTAACAGCTAGATCACGGTCAGTGGAAGAACAATAGCTCTTCTCATCTAAGGGAAAGGTTACTGCTACAGAAATTGTACTATAAAAACAGTTTCCATTCAGATCTGAACTCAGCTTCCTGTAGTGATAAGTAGAATGAACATAATCAGAGCTGCATGTGAAGGAAATATTAGCCTGAGAGGAGAATGTGCAGTGTTAACTGTCTTGTGTTTTCATATTCATCACTTACCTTAAAAGCAACAGATTTTACAGAAGAGCAAGACCACCAGCCCTAAAGTTTGGCGTTTTAACTCATTTTCTAGTATTCTGGTAGGTTCAACTGAAACAAGATTACTGTATCTGGCTTAGTAACCAAAATGCAATCTACAGAATAGAGTGCTTTTTCCACTCTCTAAGTACGCAGCCCATTTTGTTTACATAAAGCAGATTAAAACTGGCTGCCCTTATCTTTGTTCCTTCCTAAACCACTAGCCCATTATTTGATTTATTCATACATATTTGACTTTATTTTAACAGCAGGGGCATAGCAGCTGAGCCTCTTTTTGTTGGCTATTGTCCCCATGAAGCAAGATGGCAGTGATTGCTTTGGACACCTCCATTCAGCAACCTGAAGTGCCTCTGAGGTGCAAAGATGTGTAGATGAGCACATGTGGTTTGATTGTTGAACCAAAAACATTTTCACTTTTAAAATAAAGATATTTCACATGCTTGTTGGAGTAGGCCTTTTTTTTTTTTAAATCTAGGATGATGAGGTTCGTTCTGTATCAAACTTTAATTAGAAAGAGGGATTCTTCACTATGAAGTCTTTACTTTCCTTCATTTTTAGTTATGTAAAGTTACTTGCATAGAGAGTCTGCTCTTTATATGTCAAAGTGTTTTGTCATCTGCTACTTTCCCAAATTACTGCAAATGTCAAATTAATTGTAATACAGAGCAGGTCCAGACCATTTAAAACTTTAATCAGTCATTCTTAGACATCTGAAAAATCTTCAGTGTACAGCAAAGTAGCAGGTGGGGATTGATGTTATGGGAGAACTCTGGTTCTTGTATTTTTTGCTTACTCAATTTGCAGATGGACATATTCCAGGTACTTGTTAAAGCAAACTAAAGTTAGATCGGTGTCCTGAATTCTATTTCAAGTTGATTTCTAGCCATACTGAAACATATTTTCACAGTTAAAAGTGCTTCTCGAACAGTCTTGTCTACAGCTGAAAGCGAATCAAGATGCAGACTGACAAAACTGTAGTTATTCATCCACAGACATTAACTTAAAAACTTCACAAACTTTACTTAGTATATAAGAAATAGTCTCTTTTACACACTGAAATGCACGTAGTGCTCATTCCTTTACGAAGGATTTACATCACTTCTCATTGTGGTTATCTGTAAGGTAAGGATTGCCAAGGCAGCAGATTGTGGTTGCATCTCTAGTGGGCCACCCTGCAATTTGAAGGCTTTGCCTGTAGAACACAGTCCCTTGAATGTTCCCTTGGAAAGTCACAAGCAGATGTCTATCATGCTGCAGCTAATTCATCATTTGCCATTATCAGTTCATCACAGAAGAGCACACTGGTCAATGTAGGTGGTTTCCTGGAAATATTTAGTATGGAGGATATGTCGTATCTTTATTTTTCTGCAGAGCAGTCACACCAACCCCATCCTCCTTTGAAGAAGTGCACTTTGCTCTTGACTGTTCAGGGCTTGATAACTGGCTAACTCCAAAGTAAAAGTTGCTGAGCCTGATGTTAAAGAACGCAGAACTGTTGAGTAGCCCTGAACAAAAAACAGAAAACATGTATCACCTAATTCAGGGCACAGAGAAGATAAACTAGCAGAGAAAGCTCTTAAATGCCTAGAGAAAAATGGACAGAGTCTTAAATATACTGCAACATTCCAGTAATTTTTTTTTACATCATTAAAAGTGCAATGCACACAAAAATTAACTTTGTTTTGTCATTTTTTTTTTTTTTTTTTTTTTTTTAAACTATTCTCTGTAAAACCAGCTTTTACTACTGCTCTGGCACAAAACTGAAAGCACACCATTTTAACAAACTGAATCATGTTCAAAATACTACTAAGTTTGCAAGCACAGAAACAAAACAGGCTCTAAATCCATACAACCTCTGAATAACTTGCTTTAGACCTCCAATAATTAAAATACAATTAAAAACATTAATTCCAGATTTGCTTATACATAACAGGAAAAGTGATCTGAAGTCTGTAAGTCTTCTTATGCATTACAACAATTACGTACCATCATTTCTGCTAGTGGAACAGCAGCAATCACAACTTTGTTATCTTGTCGACTCTGGATTTCCTGAATACTGCCTCTTCGTTGTGCAAGATCAGCAAGTGCTGCACTGAGATGATCTTCACTTACTGTGATTTCTAGGCTCATCAGGGGTTCCAGTATTTGAATACCAGCTTTTTTCAAAGCCTGCATGGAAACGATGGAGAGTTATGCCAAATCCTTTTTCAAAAACTGACATAAGAAATGCTCACACGGTTCATTAGTACTGCCACTCAAATTTTCTACCTCCAAAAGCTATAAATCCCCCAAGCAAGAGCTACGCTGTTCAAGAACAATTACCAGACAATGATATACCTCTTTTTCCCAGTGATACATCATGCTCCTGTGCCCTACAACAGCCTACAGCTTTGCTATACCTTCTGCAAGCAACGGGAGATACAGGCTGATATCATTGTGTTGGAGGTATCAGGATGCACTGTCAGTGACTGCACTGTCACGTCTATATCCTGAACAGGAAAGCCTAGCAAGGGTCCTAACAAGAATGAAAGAAAAAGAAAAAAAGTGATTAAAAAACAGACACTTTCTTTTCAGAATATTATGACACAGAGGAGGAAAAAAAATAAAGTCTCAGGATCTCGCCTTTCTCTTTCCCTTCTCCTCCTTATGTCCAAGGGCATGGCTACTTGTTATTTCATTTTATCATTACATAGCTTTGCATATAGACTCATAACTTCTTTATTCTCCTTATCAAAAACATGGCTAATGATTTTCAGAATTGAAAGTTCCTGAGCACACTCATCCAAACAATTGTTCCCAAACTGTCTTAAAATACCTAAAATTCATCTGCTAAAACAAGACATCAAGTGAAACAAAGAAAGTTATGGAGTCTTTTGTTTAACCTAAAAGCAGAATATCTTCTGTATTTCAACAGAGTGACTGCAGGAAATTCCTAGTATCAACACATTACCAAAACAGCAGTGTTAACTCGATTTCATAAAAGATCACCTGCCTCTCTAGTAACCTGTGCAGTTTAACTGACTAAACTGAGAAGTCTTAACTAGACCAAAAACAGTGTTAGACTGCATGTGGTGCTTGAACCAAGTCTGAGGAAAAAAAAAAAAAAAAAGAATGATACACACAGCTTTTTGCTGCAGAACACATGGCTAAATGGATTTTTAGAGGAAAAAAGCCTTTAGTGGTAAGAATTTTATGCTGTAGACTGCACAATTCTGAAGTCTTCATGGTGTGTGAAAAAAAGCAGTCAAGATTCATTTCACAGCCAGATACAAAGCAATTTTAAAAGAAACACCACATGCTGCCTCTTCAGCAGTAATTCTCTTTTATTAAATCACTACCTGTTAGTGAGAGTAAGGGAGAGTCATTTTGTCACAAATTACTAAATAATGTTTTAAACTAAATATAAGAGACAGTTCTAAAGAGACCCCACACTTTACAATTAGATAAGGCTTTTTCTTTTGTTAATATATTAGTACATGCACTTCATATACTTTCATGAATTTACAGAAAATTAAAAAATAAATAAGTGTGATATTGACATGTTGGCCAAAACCAGTTCAAGTCACACTGCTATGCTTTACAGGATGTCATCAAACAAGTACCTTACCTATTACACTAGATCACAAAAACATACCAAAGAAAATGAATATTATAATTTGACTTAGAAGAAATCAAGCTTAAAACCAAAGGCATGCTGCCTTTGCTGGTATGGCAAAAGGGGTATGTGGCCATTTTTGTAGTTAAGGAAATTCCAGAATTTGGTTTGTACCTGAAGTAAATTCATCAGTTTTCGCTTTCAAGCTACCAGATTTTTTTTTTTCCTCCCAGATGCATACATTATTGATTCCTGCAGAAAAATTAGACCAGTGTAGCTGTTACAGCACTTCCTTTACCTTGAACGCACGAATTCGTGATTCCATTTTCTACTGCTTCCTGGAGTTCTTTGGGTAGCACTTCAATGACACTCTCAGCATACTCAATGATAGGTTTGGTCACCGTTCTTTCTCCTGACACAGGCCTCACCTCTAGCTCTGTAGTCACAAAGTGTCTTTTATCTCCTACTACTTTATCCAATACATCTTCAGGAAACAAATGAACAGGAATTTGGTGGCAAAGAAACAACACATAAATAAGTTACTTCCAGATGAATTTTAAGCAATGAAGCACAATGAAAGATCTTTTCAAGTAGATCACATAACAGAACAAGATACAAGGTATTTCTTAGGGACGTGAAAAACAATAAGAAAACCTTCTACAGGTACATTGGCCAGAAGAGACAGGCCAAAACGGGCGTACCTACTTTGGTAAATTTAAAAGGAGAACTGGCTTCAACAGATGAAGAGAAAGCTGAGGTGCTGAATGAGTTCTTCACCTCGGTCTTCACTGGTGGCCAGGATTCTAGTCTTTTTCACGTCCCTGAACCCTGCATCCCCAAACCTCTATGTGGGGACCAAGGAGGTAAATCCCTCCCCACTGTAAGGGCAGAGCAAGTCCGAGAGTGCCTCCTTAGACTGAATGAATACAAGTCTATGGGGCCGGATGGCGTGCATCCCAGGGTCCTGAAGGAGCTGGCTGAGGTGGTTGCCGAGCCGCTCTCCATCATATTTGAGAAGTCGTGGCTGTCAGGTGAGGTCCCGGATGACTGGAGGAAGGGTCACGTCACTCCCATTTACAAGAAGGGGAGCAGGGAGGACCCGGGGAACTACAGGCCGGTGAGTCTCACCTCCGTGCCTGGGAAGATCGTGGAACAGATCCTCCTGGACAACATGCTCGATCACATAAAGAATGAGCATGTGATCCGAGACAGCCAGCACGGCTTCACCAAAGGAAGGTCATGCCTCACTAATCTTGTGGCCTTCTATGATGGAGTGACGGCATTGGTGGACGAAGGGAAGGCGACTGATGTCATTTACCTGGACCTGAGCAAGGCCTTTGACATGGTCCCCCACCACATCC